ATACGAACATTCGAACGCGTCTGTTGATAAGTAGAGATCCACGTTGGATGACAAACTAGGTCATGACATCTCAGTGTGAGGACATTCTAAGAGCATCTCTAACAGACCCCGTATAAGTTGTCAAACACATAAAATAATCTCTTTTTACAGTTTCAGTTGAAAATACGGACCCGAACAGGCCCCTTAAAATCATCCGACCCTTAAAAGTTTTTACAAGGCCCTGTGAACACAAACCCGAGACTCAGCTCGCCGCCTACAGTGACCGCACCGCCATCGCCGTTCGCCCGACCGCCGCCGCCCGGCCGCCGCGCCTGCGGCCCGTCCGCCCCGGCCGCGCTAGCTAGTAGAATCGATGCGAGCAAGCTAGCTAGCTACGACGAACCGAACTGAGGAGTCCGGCCGCGTGCGCCCGGCCGCCGCCCGCGCGTTGTGGCCGTCCCGCGTCTCCCTCGCCCGTCCGTCCGCGGCCTCTGCTCTGGTGATGTCTTCCACATCCGCACGTCGGTCGGCAGTCGATTTCAAATTGGCATGAGGAAGAGGAAGAGATATATTCAGAGAATATTTTTTTATGAATTGATTATATGGGGCCTGTTCGGCCGCCGCCCGCGCCAGCCCATAAAACCGGTTTTTCGTGAACTTTAAAAGTGATATAAGGGTCTGCGTCCGCAATATAAGGGGTCCGACAGAGATGCTCTAAAGTTTTGCGTCAAGATGAAACAAAATATAGTGGAGGAACAACTTTGTGCACGTGACCGCTGGTGGGTCCCGCAAGCACAGTGCATTTGTCCTGCAGCGGGAAGATGATTGCGGTGATTTCTCATTGCAAATGGCCTGTTGTGGGCGGAGATCTCAAGTGTATTGAAGGGGAGAGGTAGCGTGGGCGCACCCTGAATCTCTACGATGTTCCCTCTCTCGCTTCAGCATTTTTGCCCCCCGTCGTGTACAGTACACCCCGCTGACCACGGTCCGAGCAGCGCCGAGTAACAGAGGAGCTGGTCAAATACGGGAGATGGACATCATCTCATCTCGACGAGCTGATGATATATTGATATCTTGCAGACAGAGCAACCGCTAGAATAATTGGCCAAGAATAACAATAACAAAGATTGTTGGTTCGTAGGATTGAAAAATCATAGGAATAAGAAAGTCATACAAAATGAGATGACATGCATCTCAAATCCTATGCATAGGAATAGAAAATGAGATGCCCTTTAATTCACATCATAGGATTTTTTCCATTGAGTCTAGGCTAATGTTTATTTTCCTATGAAATGTGAAGGATATGAAGAATTCCTCTATAGAAATAGGATTTCATTCCTACAAACCAAAGAGCTCTGAAGGAATTTTTCCTATAAAAATCCTATCCTATAAAAATCCTACAATAATTCCTTCAAACTAAAGGAGGCCTAAACCGGGAGATTTGTCTAGTGCAGTGCAGGGACGTTTCACAGCCTAATCCGACCAAACGGAGGCCATAAAATAATGGAGATGGACAAGCACTACGAGCTGGAAAAGTCATGTGGGCTGGCGCTGGCAGGGAAATGGTAGGGCAGTGTCACACCCCCGCACCACACTACACATGGATGGAAGCACTTTGAGTGCACAAGTCACCCACACTAATCACCAACACCGTGTGAACCAACCTCTGGTTGAGATGATTAGGTGGACAGTGGTATCCCGTATCCCTAACCTACCAGGGTTCAAATCCTGGTGTTCACATTTATCCTGGATTTATTTCAGGAATTTTGGCGATACGCTTTCAGTGGAAGGAGACGTTCCCGTCGACTACGAGGCGCGCGTACGGTGACTTCGTAAAATCTCAAGATGATATGCCGGCTCAATCTCTCGGAGATGCTCATAGGGGTAGGGCGTGCGTGTGTGCGTTCATAGGGGTGAGTGTATGCGCGTTTATATGAGCGCTTGCGTCTGTACTGTGTAAATAAAAAAAATCACCAACACCGTTTGCCAACAATAATCTACCATGTTGCGGGTTAAAGGTTTTTGTGGCCAAGTTTTGCTTTTTCCCCTGCAAAATAGGACATTATTGTTGGATTTTGTTCACACCAACGACGTTCAGTTCAGAATATGTAAGGAATGTTACGTGTGATCTTGCTGCTAAACATGTGAGGGGAAATGTTTTTTTTCTCTTATTCATCAAGAGAGTGTTCTATTTGATTAGGCACCTGAATCGGTTACTGTTTTTCTGTTCTCTCGAATTTATGAAGTAGGACATTGGTTTGCAATAAGGCCCATTATGATAACAGAGTAAAGTAATCAACTCATTTAAAATGCATTGGCGCAATGTTACACGAGCTACTCTATTGAACAACATATAGATGAATTTCGTCTCCTAGAATAAGAAAAGGTGGTT